AGCTGGAATTTTAATTATAACTTAAACCAATATTTTTGTTAAATAAATGACTGTTACTGGTATTGGATGAGAAAAGAAAACTGATACAGAATTATTTTCTTACCAACTTTATTCTAGTATCAAATATACTTTTGTTAAGCATGTGAGGGCGTTGATGATAACGAATAACTAATTGAAACTGTCCTTCTACTTTCTGGACTGAGGGTAGAAATTTGTTGTACTATGACATTTATTTTTTAAAAACGGAGTTTTATGCTCCAGTACCAATCTAATAGTCAGATAACAACTAATACTTCTGCTGACAAGATTACAAAAAAGGTGCGCATGCGCAGTGATGTATTCGACATATGACATGCACATTATGTATGTCTGTTCATGGAATTTCGTAAAAAGCCACATCAGGTTATCTGCTGTGTCCACCAAGGGGAATCGAACACCTGATTTTAGCATTGTAATTTCAAAGACTTGCCGCTATCCCACCGGGGGACGAAAGCGCTCACTAGTAAGCAGGAAATCATAAAACAGAACGCAGCAAGGAATACTTTTTTTTGTCCAATGAGTCCTTCTGTAAAGACAATTTTAAAACAAATTAAAAGTTTAATGTTCAGAAAGTAAAGTTTTGTACGCGGTCGTATTAATTAATTCTGTAGCTACTATATGAAGAATCCTAGTGTTTTCTGATAACATTCTGTCTAAGTCTGAAGAGTTATCTTAATAACCTTGATTATTTCTGATAACAGGGCGTCTTTACGGAATACACACTGCCCAAGTCTGAAGGGTTATCTTAATAACCTTGATTCTTTCTGATAACAGGGTGTCTTTACGAAATAATCACTGGTCATGTCTGAAGAGTTATCTTAATAACTTTGATTCTTTCTGATAACAGGGAGTCTTTATGGAATACAAATTGCTCATGTCTGAAGAGTTATCTTAATAACTTTGATTCTTTCTGATAACAGGGCGTCTTTATGGAATACAAATTGCTCATGTCTGAAGAGTTATCTTAATAACCTTGATTCTTTCTGATAACAGAGCGTATTTACAAAATACCTACAGTCCACGTCTGAAAGGTTATCTTAGTAACCTTGATTCTTTCTGATAACAGGGCGTCGTTAAGAAATGCCCACTACTTTTTATGGGGGATAAGGGTTATTTTAAGAAAATTGGTATATTTCTTAAACCAGGAGCGTCTTTAAGAAACACTGTTCATATCTAAATTACAGTCTATCCAACGGGGAACAAAGAACCCGGACAGCTTTTCAACAATATACAGTTCTTAAGTTCGTTTGAAACAAACACATTATTCATTCCCAAACTTTGTTCCCAATTATAATAATCTCTAGGTCTTCCAAGTGGAAAAGTTAATCTATCGTAGGTACACCGATAAGCAACACATTAGGCAAGACAACATTTCTCTCAACAGTAATAAAAGTTTTAATGGGCGTGTATTTACCCTTCAGGTCATTTTCTATTCCTCTATAGTATGTTTCCTTTGTTTCAAGGTTTGGATTTAATATCGCTCTATGAACAAACAGGCCTACGAGAGTTGAGAGGGTTCTCGACTAATTTGTTCCAGTTTCGATAGTGTTTTTTTATATTTGCGTCGTGTCTACAGATAAACTCTACATGATTTTTGTCAATCAGAGGTCACTGCCTTATTTTAAATACCAATTGGTCGCACCTACCCACTCAGACATTCTTCTCTCACAATATCAAGATTTCAAAATGGAACTTGTTTTTTGCGTTATAACATCATGCAATGATCCTCTCCCTGCAGAGGGATTTGATTTACTGCAGTAGACTTAACAATACCCACGAATACAGAGATTTTAGTACGTTATATTAAAACGATTTTGAATATATATAAGTCAGCAAGTCACATGACAACTATAGACGATATAAGTTCATGGTGGAACGGAATGTATAAGAACTACATTTTAATATTGGCGTTACTAAGGTAGTGTAATGCTACCGAACATTTATCGTTTTCAGAAAGGTATGCAGCAGTTCTTTCAGACGCAAAATATTTATACACTCAAACCACACAGACGTGCTCAGATCGGGAATTAGAATTCCCAATACGGGGATATACGTTGTATTTAATGGCATTGGAAGGCAAATGAAATTGGATCAACTTGATGTACCAGGACTATCCAAGAAAAGACTGCAACAAGTCGTACTTAATCAGTAGTAAGAAAAGTGCGACGTCTAATAACAAGTGAGAATCTATGAACACAAAGGTCAGTAGCAAAAGTTGTCCACATGCCCCAAGCAACAGTGCGTGCATAATAAAGAAAGGTCTCCGTTTGGAAAAGCAACACAAGTAGTGTGTACAAGTTGTTTCCACGAAATATCCCTTTAATCGTCACATACCTCAAGCAGCTGGAGAATCATACCAAGTAGTCTAACACAGAAGTACAGTCATGTCACACCAAGTAGTCTAACACACAAGTACAGTCATGTCACACCAAGAAGTCTAACACAAAAGTACAGTCATGTCACACCAAGTAGTCTAACACAAAAGTACAGTCATGTCACACCAAGAAGTCTAACACACAAGTACAGTCATGTCACACCAAGAAGGCTAACATACAAGTACAGTCATATCACACCAACTAGTCTAACACACAAGTACAGTCATGTCATACCAAGTAGTCTAACACACAAGTACAGTCATGTCACACCAAGTAGTCTAACACAGAAGTACAGTCATGTCACAACAAGTAGTCTAACACACAAGTACAGTCATGTCACACCAAGTAGTCTAACACACAAGTACAGTCATGTCACACCAAGTAGTCTAAACACAAGTACAGTCATTTAGACTACTTGGTGTGACCACACAAGTACAGTCATGTCACACCAAGTAGTCTAACACACAA